CAAAGCCTGTCTCAGCAACTTAGTGAGGCCCTAAGCAACTCAGTGAGACCCTGTCTCTAAATAAAATATAAGAAGGGCTGGGGATGTGGCTCAGTGGTTAAGCGCCTCTAGATTTGGCCCCTGGTACACACACACACACACACATACACACAAAAAAAAGGTATTGATTTCAGTTAGTTTCGTAAGTCTGTCTGATTTTTTTCCACTAGGCTATGGGTTCTCAACAGAGAGTGAGAGTGACTGTTCTTTTTTTTGGTACTGGGGATTGAACTCAAGGGCACTCGACAATTGAGCCATATTCCCAGCCCTAATTTGTATTTTATTTAGAGACAGGGTCTCTTTAAGTTGTTAGCACCTCACTTTTGCTGAGGCTGGCTTTGAATTGCAATCCTTCTGCCTCAGCCTCCTGTCACCACACCTGGCTATTTTTTATTTTTGTGACAGGGTCTCGCTAAGTTGCTGAGTCTGGCTTTGAATTTGTGATCCTCCTGCCTCAGCCTCTCAAGTTGCTAGGATTATAGATGTGTGTCACCATGCTGGGGGAGAGTGATTTCACAGATTGTTTTGTTTCAACTGAGTAAAAATGCTGACAAAGCCCTTACAGTCTGTCTTCAGTCAGCTCAAAGACTCTTTCCTTCACCTAGAAATAGAGTCTGAATGATGGTGTATAATATTGCAAAGGGTAGATTTTACTCTAGTTTTAGGTGGAAAGAAGGGAGATTTGTTTTTCTTTCCCCCCCACTTTAAGTATTGGAGAATTGAACCCAGGGCCCTGGTCATGCTAGACAAGTACTCTACCACTGAGCTGTGTATCCAGCTCTTTTCTTCACCTGTTTAGTTGTCTAAGCTGGCCTCAAACTTATAATCCTCCTGCCTCAGACTCCCTAATAGCTGAGATTATAGGTTTGCACCAACATGCTGGCTGCAAAGGAGATTTTGTCTGATTTTTGGGAAAGATAGAGAATCAAGAAAGATGAACAAGAGATGGGATCATTGGGTTATGGTGAGGAGAAAAGGGAAGGAAAAGAACATTAACAGGTTGGGGAGCCATATGTGGTGGCCTGTGTCTGTAGTCCCAGCTGTTCAGGAGACTGACGTAGAGGATCATGAGTCCAGAAGTTCAAGACCAATCTATGCAACATGGTAGAACCCCCTCTCAAAAAACCAAACCAAACCAAACAAAAAATAAAGCAACAACATCAAAAAAGTATTTTGGAGATAAAGTCAGTTTCTCTGCTATCAGAATGTCTAGGAGACAGGTAGCAAATACAGGTATTTTTTCTCCCTAGAAAAGAATGTCTCCTGCTGCATTTGAAAATGAATACACCGGCATCTGATTGGCTAGTCCCCATTCTCTCCTGAGCCTGTCCTGAGTGTTCTAGGAGATCCAAGGGAAAGGACAGGTCTCTACTCTGAGGAGCTCCCAGAGGCGTAGCTAGAAAAGCCCCTGGCATGGCTGTGGAGAACTGGAAGGTTGGGGAGCAGAGGTGGTCAGAGGAGGTGGTACTAGTGAAGAAGAAGAAGGGCCTGTGGAGGAGGTGCTGATGGAGGCAGGGGCACTGGGGAGGGCTGGGATCAGCTTGTGTAGGTCATGCTGTAGGGAGGGGGACAAGGAATGTGTCTGTTCAGCCGAGGAGCTGAGTGGTCAGTCTCTAAAGGGTGTGGTTTAGGAGTGGGGGAAGAGTGGGACCACTGAGAAAGAAGAGATTAATGCCCTGGCCAAGCTTCCAGTGCGACAGGGAAGACAGGCCATGGTGTGTGTGAGCGATGACAAGGATGGAGGGGAGGGTTCTCGCCCTGGGCTTCAGACAGATTGAGATGACTAGAGTCACACTCCCAGACTGGCAGAACTGCAGAGGACCTTGGAGGGGATTTAATCCAGCATCCTCAAGACCAGAGAGAAGAACCTGGCCAAGACTTACAGCTAGGTGGCTTAGCTAGCGATGTGAAGAGTTAACATGACTGAACATTGACTCTCTGCCAGGTTCTGTTCTCAGCATTTACAAATATTAGTTTCTTTTTGTTCAGAACAACCTCATGGCATAAAAACTATTATCACTGTTTTATATTTGAGGAAACTGAAATGTAAAGAGTTAAATTGCCCAGGGATATGCTGTTAATAAGCTGGGGATCAGACTTCGAACCCAGGCAGTCTGGCACCAGGGCGCATACAAAGTCCCTGTGCTTTCTGGTTCTCAGAAGCAGAATCCAGCCCTTCTGCCTCCCAAGTAGTTCTCCCCACATGAGCCTGAGGCAGAGGGAGACTGTGCAGAGGGCACTGACCGCAGACTGTGATCCCCAACTGTGTTGACTTCCAGGTTGAAGGCAAGAGCTCCATCATCCTGACCTTCAGACAGCTGATGGCAGAAGAGGGACCTTGGGGCCTCATGAAGGGCCTCTCGGCCAGAATCATCTCAGCTACTCCTTCCACCATCGTCATTGTGGTGGGCTATGAGAGCCTCAAGAAACTCAGCCTGCGACCGGAGCTGGTGGACTCAAGACACTGGTAGCCAGTGGTGGGCAGAGAAGCTGGCTGTTTCCCACTACTATGGGCTGGGGGCAGAGCAGGGAAGATAGTGTCCTCTCTAATGCCCCCACTACATACCCAGCCCTGTCCTGGGCCAGGTGGCCTGTCTGGGAAAGGGACAGAGACTTTGGACTGCTCTTGCTGAAGAGGTTCCATGCCTGGCTTCCCTGCCCCAACTATTTTTAATTCTCCTACTGAACTGGGCTCCCTTCCTCAGCTCCTGGCCTGGAGACCCACCTCGCCTGACCTGCTAGCCCCCTCAGGCTTCCCTTTGCATCTTCCCTGAGGTCCTGAGAAGATCTGTGCATAGAGCTTATTGACTACCACTGATTTCTCCTCTTGGGCTTTCAGCCAGACTCTAAGCAGTTGCCCCCCACTCTTACCACGTCACCTCTGAGGCTAGCTCATTTTTAATTTGGGTCTGAGCTGCCCACCAGACTACTCTGCATTTCTTACACTTTGGGGTAAGTTGCCAGGCACTTTTGCACAGTCAGAGCAGCAAAATCCCTGTCTCTACAGAGCACTCGTCTTTTCTTTGGAGGAGTTACTGAGATGGGAGAAAAGCTGATACTTTATTTTATGTGTACATTTTTAAACGTCTGTGAACCAGGCTCTTGTCGTAGTCCTGCTAAAGCACCAGTCCTGCTGTCAGAGCCTACCCCTGCCTTAGACAGGTGGGAAAATGTCACGTAGCCTTTTCCTCAATCCCAGTCCTATCCCTTCACTGTCCCTTCAACCCCAGCAGCCCCTGTACAATATGAGCTGTTGCCTTCCCCTGGCCCAGATGACGACAGTGGGGTGGGGGGCACAGTTCTAAATAGGTTGGGCTGAATCAGGTACACTGGGCTTGGAGCACCACCTTGAAAAGTCAGGTTGACAGAGTAGTTGGTTTGGAAAGAAACAGGAGGGTATGTGTTCCCCATCAGGCCAGCTGAGCCCAGCCTAGGAGAGAACAGTGGAGGTTCTCAACCCCATTGAGAGGCAGCCATGAGGTACACATAAACCCCAGTCACTCATACTCACGGCAACAGTGTTGTCTCACAGTGGAAATCTGAGATGTGGAATGTTTTTTTTCCCCTTCTCTCTGGGTGTAAAGAGTCATCCCAGTCATGGTACCCTGTGCTTGAAGAGAATAAAGAGCAGTTTAGGAAGTCACCTAATACCAGGATCACTGCATTTACCAGCCTGATACTGCCAAGATTATCTGTTGAAGCTCCACTCAGAAGCTAGGAGACCCACTCCTGCTCCCCTGCCTCATTCTTCCCCACCCCACCTCCTCCACCAAGCCTGGGTTGGGTGGAGAGGTGCAGCGAATGGAAGGAGAAGGAGGCAGTCAACCCTGCCTTCCCACTTGAGACATTTGGTCTGAATGATCCTTTAAACCTATTTAATGGTCCCACCTGCTGGGGAAGGCCCCGGTGCCATTGAAAGGTGCTAGCTACCTGAAGCCTTGATATTTCCCACTTTCTTACACCCTGGCCATACCAGACTCTGAAAACCAGATTTCACTACCTTCACCGCCAACCATGTTCCATCTTGTCTCTAGTTAAGGATTTTCCCCTTTTCATTTTATTTATTTAAAAAAAAATTTTTTTTTTTTTTGGTCCCTACCTTCACTTTGTCTTCCAGTTTCTTTTCACAAATAGTCATCCTAAAGGTTGGGCCCACAGGTCATTCCGAATCTTCCTGCTCATCACTCACCCTGAGAACCACCCACACAGGGAAGCAAGGGCCCTCCTCTCTTTTTTAAGTTTTTTCCCAGTGAGCGCTGGAGGATGGTGTTCTCAGTGCCACCCTTCTCCCTCAGAACCGGTCTTCCGACCTTCCCCACTGTGCTGACGTGGGTCCTCTCCTGCCTCAGGTGTGACTCCCTCCCTGCTCCTCTCCTGTAGGGTACTCAGTCTTCCACCTGTCCCCCGCCCCACACACAGTTTTCAAGGGTGTTGTGGAGAATTAATGGGACCCTGGCCCCTACTTTCCCTTAATAGTTTAGGAGCTGGGATTGGGTTTAGGACAGTTTTTGCTGGGGATGAGACCGTGGACTTCCATTTTCCTACGACTTGGAGACCAAAGCAGCCGGCAATTTGGTGTACTGATTAGCAACCAAACTAGAAGAAACTCCTAGAGAATGGGCAAGACCGGAATCTGACTGCAGGAGCACTGAGAGGGAATTGAAAACACGTGAACGTCTGACCCAATGAACTTTTGTGAATATCAGCAGGGAATATTCACTTTTGCACTGTACGATGTCTTTGAAGTGTAATTAAAAGTTTTTACGAGCCCCTAAGCTTTGGCTTGTGCGTGTTTTCCCCTGTGCACTGCGTCCCTCTTGGCTTTCCCCCGCCCTCTGACTTCGTAGGTGCTCCGCCCCCGTGCGGCTCGGTGACAGACGTTCTGCCGCGCCCAATCGGAGGCGTCCCGTGCGGAAGCACCCAATCGGGGGCCCAGGTGGGTGGGGCGGCAGGACCAGTTCGCTTTGGCGGTTCGACTTCAACATGGCGGAAGCCGGTAGCGCCCATCTGGCTGCGGATGAGGAAAAAAGGTCTGAGGGGTCGTCTTCCGAGTCCGTGTCACCCGGCACTACCATTTCGCGGGTGAAGCTCCTTGACACCACGGTGGACACTTTTCTCCAGAAGCTGGTCACCGCCGGGAGGTAAGGTGGAGCAGCAGTTCCGAGCTTGGTCCTCGCCTGAGTGCAATTCCCGCCGTTTCGGGCGGGCGGAGGGTGGGCGGCGCGGGCTCCCGGGCGGGGCGAGGCGGCCGCGCTGGTGCTGCCCCGTCCGCTCCCGAGCCGGGAGGAGTCGGGTGACGTTTACCACCCGAGGTGACCTGCCGTGGGCTGCACAAGCAGCCGCTCCTTCCGCCGGAGAGCCCGGTTTTGTCCACAAGCGGCTCAAAGGAAGATGGCCTTTGCCGCTAGATGGGGTTCGAGCCCCGGCCCCAGCTGAGCCGGGCTCAGCGGCCCACTGCCCCCTGGTTCCTCAGCGATCGGCGACCGCGCTGCCTCGGACTGAGCGCCCCGGACGGCGCCGGCCGCGGAGGAATCACCGGGTAGAGGACCCGACGTGCCGCGCAACCGAACCGCGTCCGCCTGGGCCTCGGCCTCGTGTGGACAGTACTGGACGCTTTAAAGGGAGGCTGTGCCCTGACGCCCCGCCCCTGCACTGCGGCGCCGAGCCGGTTCCCAGCTCCCCGGAGCAGGGCCTGGCCTCGTCCCCTCCGTCTGGCTGTGGCCGCACCAGCCCTGTTCACGGGCCTCACGTTTTGGGCCTGGGCTTGGTGGCCTGTACTTGTCCCGGCTGCTCAGGAGGCCCACACAGGAGGCTCACTGGGCCCCAGGAGTTCAGCCCCGCCCTGGGCAGCAGTGAGACCCCAAGCCCATCTCCAGGACAGATGGTCTCCCTCCTCCGCTGTTCAGGACTCACTGCTCCTGGGTGGCTCTGCGGGTGTCCCCGCTCAACCCAGCGTCCGGAAGCGCCTCCTCTGTGGGTACCAGGTACACGGTAGAGCAGTCACGACCTCTGCCTGGGTTTACATGCAACAAGTAGAAACATAAAACGAGATGGCCAAAAGCTTGGTAAGATCCCGAACAGGGATAGAGTGAGGGGAGCCTGCTCTGGGGACATCGGACAGTGCAGAAGTGCATAGTCCTTGCTAGTATTCACAAGAGTTCATTGGATCTTTTCATTTCCCTCTCAGTGCTCCTGCAGTCCGGTTCCTGTCTTGCCCATTCTCCCAGAAGTTTCTTCTGGTTTTTTTGTGCTAATCAGTACATCAAGTAGAAACGTGAATGTCCAGATGAAGCTAGCTTTTTGAAAAACCAGAAAAAGCAATAAAGGCAAAGGGGTAGCTTCTGCAAAGAGCAGGAGGTGATAGGTAATTTAGGAACTGGCGGGGTATTCCTGGCTGCAGCAAGGAAAAGTAAAGTAGGGAGGCTGGCCAGGCAGGTGGAAACCTTACCAGTCCGGGCATAATTTGCCATAATAATGCATTTGATGAAATAATTTGTAATTATTTTTATGGACCGATAATGGCATACCATCATTTTATGTCCTTTATTTATTTTCCCCTTCTCATTCTTGCCCTCTTCTTTCCTCAAAGGCTCACTTTTGTTGGCTATGTGTTCTTCATTTACTCATGATACAAATATTTATTGACTATCAGCAGCATCTCAGGCTCTGTTCTAGTTGCTGGATATATAGCAGTAATAGAGATGAACAGGGTCCCCACCCTCCTGGAATGGACATTCCTCCTGGAATGTATATATCAGGGAAAAGGGATACAGAGCAATGAGGAAAGGGGTCAGGGTAAAACTATGGTGGGTTTTTGTTTTGTTTTTGGTGCTGGGATCAAATCCAGGTCCTCACATATGCACAGCACCCTCTCTACCATTTTAAGCTACATTCCTGGCCCGGTATGTTGTCCTTTTTGTCTGTGTATGTTTTAAATTTATATGAATGATATTGTGGGTTTTTTTCCCCACACATATTATTTTAAAGTCCCAACCATGTCTGTAAATACCTAGGGTTTGTAGCTTCCCAGTGCTAGTTGTCCTCCCATGGTGTACACCTCCCACTTACCTATTCCTTATTATAGGCACCTGGTTGTCTGTAAATCCCTCCTCCACAAATGATGGCAAATCACCTTGTCTATCCCTCTTGGACTAGTGCTAGGATTTCTCTGAGATATATAAATACCTGTGTTTTGTCTGACTGCTTTCCAGAAAAGATGTTCCTGTCCTCCACATCCTTACCATCACTGGGCATCCACCATTTTCATATTTATCATTCTGACAGGTGTAAAACCAGGGTATCTCTTTTTTTTTTTTTTTTTTTTGTGGTGCTGGGGATTGAACCCAGGGTCTTACATGCTAGGCAAGCACTCTACCAACTGAGCTATATCCCCAGCCCCAGGGTATCTCATTGTTATATTTTGCATAACTCTGACAGGGTCTTGCTAAGTTGCTTAGGGCCTAAATTGCTGAGGCTGTCCTTGAACTTGTGATCCTCTGCCTTAGTCTCCTGAGTCTCTAGGATCACAGGCATATGCCACCTTGCTCAGCTCCAGTGTTTTTTTTTTTTTTTTTTTAAATCAACCCAAATAACCCAAATGACAAACAGAGGAGGATTACATAGACTTTTTTTTTTTTTTTTTTACCAGGGATGGAACCCGGGGTGCTTAACCACTGAGCCAAAATCCCCAGCCCTTATTATTTTTTGTTTAGAGACAGGGTCTTGCTAAGTTACTTAGAGCCTTGCTAGTTGCTGAGGCTGGCTTTAAACTTGGAATCCTCCTACCTCAGCCCCCCTAACCTCTGGGATTATAAATGTTCACCACTGTGCTGGGCACATAAATTTGATATATATTTTTTTTTGACAAGATCTGGTTTGCTTTAGTATATTGAACATCTTTCTAAAATAAACTATGAGAAAGCCATTCTAATTCAATGGAAGAGATGCTGAAGGATTCAAGATTAACATCCATTATGAGCAATGTGAAACGGAGGGAAAGATCCATGAATTGTGCTCGTAGAATTCTGCCCCCATGGGAGACGGAAGGGTCAAGTGGAAAGCCATCAGTGGGAAAGATAAAGAAAGATGGGCTCTCAGAGCAGGGGTTTCTGTCTAGAAGCTGTTCTTTGCTCACTGTGTTAATTTTTTCTCCCAGCCTCCTCAGGCTGATAAAGATGGGGTAGATGGTGTTTGCTGTAGTAGAGAAAGAAAGTGGCGGGCTGAACCCAGGGGTAGTGCTGAAAAGCTTCCCGCGTCACACTTGGCTCAGGCTTCTCCAGGGAAGATGGACAGAGGGAAAGGAGGTGCTGGCACCAAGCGAGGGTTGGGTGCAGGGCTCTGGAAAGTTCAGAGGAGCTGGAGACCCAGGTAGCAGGACACGCCTGGATAGCAAAGAGAGAGTCTGCAATGCTCATACAAGGGACAGCAGTCCAAACCCTGTCATGCATAAGCAGATGGAGTCTGACAAAGACTTGCCTTAACCTGTCTCCCATGTGAGACTGACCTAGCCCTATTAAGCCCTTGGTGGGCAGCCTGGGAGAGCGGGGGTCCGGGTAGCCCCATGTTGGACAAGACACTATGGGAGCAGACCCCATGTGGTTTCTGGCTCATCTCCATCTCTCAAAGCTTTTGGACATGCACACAGTTGGAGGGGGTCTCACGGGCAGAGAACTTTGGAAAGCTCCCTCTAGTGAGACTGGGCAGGGGTGGCAGGGTGGGGATGGGGACTGCCTTGAGAAAGCAGCTGAGGAATGGAGGGATGGGATTTTCCAGAGACTTCAGAGATGATGCCTGATCTGATAGGAACCATGATTCAATGCTCTGACTTGGGGCTAATTTGCTGAATGAGGTAGTTCCATCCTGACCTCTCTGGGCAGGGTTGGTCAGGGAAGACAGAAAACAGGCCTTCCCAAGACCCATGGGAATGAAAAGTGGCCAAGAAAAGCCAGATTTGGGCTCCCAGAATGCAATGAGAAAAATAAAGGGCCATAAAGGATTCTAGGTGCAGGCTGAGCTGACGGCGCCTTCTATCCATGATTCTGTTCTTAACATTGGCTTAGAGGCAGAGACAGCCCTTCCCTGATCTTCCAAAGCCCCGGAGATAAAGGAACCAGCTGGAGGATGGGCTTTGGGGCATCCAAGGGCACAAGTATGTGACAGCCACCCCTGTGGAACTCAGCAGGGACCACAAAGTTCCAGCCTCAGTTTGTTCTCAGAGCAACAAGCACATCACGGGGTTTGGAGGGGCTTCAGTCTTGGAGACAAGGGCGGGGTTGCAGGTCTGTCTTCTTGGCCTGGGAATATTTGGGATTCCCCAGCTGAGCCATCCAGATCACCCTTCTGGAATTGCCAGCTCTCTCCTCTCTCCTCAGTGGACAGGAGAGTGGGTGGGAGGGCAGCTTCACCCAACGGGAGCCACCATCCTCTCTCCATGGGACCCCCAACCCCTCTCCTGGGCAGGACCCCCGGGGCCGCACAGGCGTGTCTAGATCTTCATCTCCACAGGGCGAATGTTGCCAATTTTGTGCTCTCTGACCCACAGCTCTCTGTCTTTGGCCGGGTCCACTTTTCAAAGCAGTTGGTCCACAGGCTCGACTGTGCTTTGGTTGAACATGTCTGTCTCCTGCCGCAGCTGTGTGTGCTGACACAGATGTTGCCAGATCATCTCCAGCTGCTCCAGCTCCAAAGTGGTGGTCACCATCTCTTCAAACCACTTGGACTGGGCCTGGTAGTAGAGGTCCACACAGCGCATGAGGTCATCGCCAGCCTGTGTGGACTTTCTCCGGGCCTTCTTGATGTCCTCCTCTGTCTTGTTGCTCAGCTTGATCTCCAGTTGCTGGGTCTTCATCTCCAGGTCTCTCTGCCGCTCTGTGAGGGCTTTCCGGGCCTTCTCCACCGATGTGTGGCGGCTGGCGAGCTGCTTGCGAAGGTCAGCGATATGGTGGACACACTTTTTCATGTCTTTCTTGAAGTTCTCACGAAAGTTCATTAGGGGCTTCTCTACCTCGATCTGAGGCTTGGCGGAGAACTTGAGATGAACTTCTGCTTCATCTGCCAGACTCTTCTTCACCTGGGCCCAGGCTTCTCCCAAGGAGCCTTCCTCCTGTGCAGCCAAGGAGTTCTGAGAGAGCTTAGCCAAGTT